CCGCCTCCGCACCTGCCGCCCCAGGTGCGGGCGCTCCCCCTCGTCCCCGCCCCAGCTGTGCCCTCCACCCAGGGAGTGGAGGTGTCGCGGCGGTTTTGGTGGCCGCGCGTCCACCCACCCGGCTGTTTGCGCACGGAGGTTCGGGCGCGGGCGTCATTCCTCTAGTAGGCAAAGAGGGAGGAATGAGGGACGAGGGACAGGGGGCTGGGCAGGAGGTGACTTCCAGAAGCACGGGCTTCCCTTCGCCCGCGCCGCCGCGCTCCTCCCTCCTTCTCCAAACCACTTGTGGCGCGTGTCGGGCCGACGCGGCACTCCGGCTCCTCCTGGGGCCTCGCACCCGCCGGTTGTCCGGCGTTGCCAACTATCGCCACCCCACCCCCCACCCCCTGGAATGGAAATTTGGAAAATACCTGGCGTAGGCTGAAGGGAAATACACCACCACACCACCCTGCACATCCTGGGAGGTGTGCGCAGGGTGGAGACCCTCCACAGGTTGCAGAAGGGCCGCCCTATTAATTTGTCTCTGCCCTGGATTTTTACAGCGAAAACCCGGAAGACAAAAATAATTTATACTCCTGAGAAGTTCTGCCCCAGGCAAATATGAACTTCTAAAATCCCTCTCCCACCGCCCCACCCCCGCTCCAGTCCTGAATGCCAAGGGTTCAGGCTGGAAGAAAAGGAAGCAGACTGTCGCGTTCTGGGCTGGAAGCATGCGTGTGAAAATACTGGGTACCCAGAAAACTAAAATGTAGTCCGCACGAAGCTATAGTTGTAAGCAAACTATTTTGACGACAGAGTACAATGATCCTCTTAAAGATAATATTAAAATAATTCCGACTTCATTATTCAATATACACATTTATTTAGTATAACAAAGAGTTTTGATAGAGCTAGGGCTTTTGGCCTTAACTGTCTGAACAATGAATAAATGATTTATTGGGGAGTTTTATAGATTTCCAGCCGGTGACGTGTTTTATTCCCGCTTTTGTGAGAATCCAAGGGAAAGGGACCAGAAGCCTACTGACAGCATTAAGGACCACAACTGTCAAGAATCCAGAAACTGCCCTGAGCCTGGGTGCCGTATTTCAGCGCACGTCCAGAGGGGAATTCGCAGACCCCAAGCCTCCCGGGCTAGAGGGAGGGACCTTTCGTTTCAGACTCCACCAAACGTATTTCCCCTCAGTCCTTGGCCATAAATCCATGCTTTCTTCCTCACTCACACACAGGCTGCACCCGAGGACTTGCAGGTTTTGTAGCTGGAGCGAAGTTGCTCTCCTTTTGCAGGGAAGTTCCTGGGCTTGGCTCCAAAGCTGCCCGGGATGTTTTGGTTGCTCCGGAGGAAAGCTGTGGAGTCTGCACCGTTTGTTCTAAACAGGCGGCCCCCTGGTGGCTCGCTGCGGGTGAAAAACTGGCCACTGAGGGAAAAGCCTGCCCAGACGGGCCACCACAATGGACAGCCGGTCATCTCAGGGGCCATGGAGCCACTTAAACAACTTTGTAAGGAGGGGAGATGGGTGTGGGCGGGGGCAGTGATGCCAGTCTTCCTTCACCAAGGTGGACGAAAGGCCTCAATCCGCTGGAACTCCTCAGTTTTTTTCTGTTCCTGAGATTAAGTTGGACCTAAATGCCTTCTTAAGTAGGAAGCATCATACAGAGAATGAAGTATAACAAAAACTGTTGCTTCCCTTTGTTCAAGTGGCTTTGTTTTTCTGATCTCATTTTGCCTGGAAACATCTGAAATAGAGAGTAGATTAAAGCTAAATAAACAACATGGCATTATTCAAACAGTTCATGAAACAATATTGTGTAACAATAAGGGAGGGCAATTGTAATGCAGCGTTATTGAAACAACATGAACTACTAGGACTGTGTTTGAATCGGCCCTCTGAGGGCAGTCTTACAGGCTGCATGATGGTGGAGAAGGGTTACCAACAGAACGCGCCATTTACTTTTCTAATTTTACACAATGGAGGAAAACTGATTGAAGGCAGAAAATAATATTCAAGTTTTAGAGCATATGGCCCCGTGTTCCGACCTCGCTGATCTGAGAGGCCACACCAAAGCTGTTTTCATGACCCATGGTCACATTTCACCATAGCCATCCTCATTAGCAGGGTCTACAGGTTTCAAGCGGATGACTTGGTTCAAGGAAGCAATTCATTCATATACTCATTTATTCATCAGTTCTGGGGTAAGGAGATAAATAAAGCAGAGGCTCCCACAGAGCTGGGGTTACACTGAAGCCAATGAGGCTGGCGGTACAAGTCCAGGGTCCAAGCTGCTATTTATGTAAAGTTTTGACACATTGTTCGTCATGGATCATTGCTGCATTCATTTTGATCTTGAAAATATGGCATTACAATATAATTTCTCAATTAGCGAGTTTTTTGATGTTCTTTAAAATTCTGCACTCAAGGCAAATGCCTCAGTAGCCTCGTCCTTGTCTTCCCTCTGCTGTGGCCTTAGTGTTATGAGTCTAATTAGAGAAGTAAAATTCAGTTAGAATTTTATTAATGTTGAAGATAATTACTATATACTAAGGAACTTGAATTCAGGGAGTTAGAGGTGTAGGTATGAAGGGAGGGGAAAAAATTGGGAGATTTTACCAAATGAAGTTGCTCTTAAGCCAGTCCATTAAAGATGGACCAGATTCTGTTGCCAAAACATGGCCTTGATATCCCACTTATCCAGCTGAGACTTGAGGACAGAGTTTTGTAAGATGTAGAAAAGGCAGCTTTATTTCTTTGCCAGGCAAAGGAGGTCCCAGTGGGCTACTGCCTCTAAGACTGTGAGCCTGCTGGGGATAGAAGGCAGAGGGTTTTATAGTAAAAGTTCAAGAGTTCAAGGGGAGGAGCTAATTTCCATAGAGGTCAGATACAGGATAACAAATTGTTGCAAAATTGTTCTTGTTTTTGCAGATGCAGTGGTCCCCTTCCCTTTGTTGGGTATGAAGTTCACCTCCGGCTTTGGGACTCTCAATATTCTTGTACCTAGAACAAAGGGTGCATAGGAAGGGGCTCCATGGAAAAGAGCTCTAGAGAAAAACTTGTGCAGTTTAAAGTCAGGCTGATAAATGCTTTTAGCCCTTTAAGTAGGCTGAGGCCTGGGTCCTCCTGCTTCAGGCTGAGGCCTGCAGCTGGAACAACAGGATGCAAGGAAACCACAAGAGGTCAAGAGGAGGGCACTGGGGTCAAGAGCAAGGCACTGAGCATGATCCCTGTTCACAGCACCATGACAGGTTGAGCAGACCATTGAAGCCTCCCTCCTCACCAGCCCAACCCTGGTCAGCAAGAGCAGGAGACAAACCCTTTCAACCATGATACAGTTAGGCAGGTACAAGCACCATTGCAGGGATCAGATGGTCACCGATGATGACACAGGGTCCCGCTCAGTTACAGCTCTACCAGGGAGTGTCAGAACTGGGGGCGGTACCACCCCAGGGACTGGAACCACTGGTATACTTTCATTCATTCAACAACTACTTCTCAAGCTAACTGTGCAGCCGAAGGACCCAGCCCTGGAGCTTCTGGCTCTATCTGTTCTTTGCTAGTTCCTGGAATTTATTTGGCTCTGAGGGCCCCAGTGATTCTGGTCCATGGCCAGCCAAATAAGAATGCCAAGTCTGTCCCTGCCCTTCAGAGGAAAAGACAGTCTATTAGAGGATATGACATGTCCAACATTAACTCTAAGAGTGAAGGTGCAATGAGAAATGTATAAATATACATTGCTGGCTAATTGCTGGTGAGGAGGCCACAACAGCCCAGGAGGAATGGGGGCATCAGGTAAGATCTTCCACAGGAGGCACCTAGGGAGAAGCTGGAGAATAGAGAAGATGCTACTGGCTATATTATTAAAGGGCCAAATGAAAAATGAAAATGCGGTGTCCTTTATTCAAATAGTAGGGGGGAAAATACCACTAAAGATGCAAAATATAAAGCTATCTCCTTTCTTCCATATTCTCTCTTTGGAATGGTTATGATCTTTTAAATTTGCTATTTAATATCATTCTAAGTAAAGAAACACTTTAAATTATTAGCATCCATTTTACTGTTCATCTTTAGATTATGCAGTGTTAGTTTTAACTGAAAATATGAAAGCATTTAACCCATT